AAACAGAAAACCATTTGAGAGGGAAACAGAACAAGCTGTGGAGGAGTTGCATTGTGGGAAATGTAGTGTCTCAGAGTCCATATCCAGCAGGAGGCTGGCTGACGTCAGTCTGCTCACTAAGCAGCATGAAAAGCCTCCGTCTGATGTAATGAGCTTCTCGCTGACGTCACCGCTGACGTCGGGCATCATGGCGTCTGTGCAGCTCGACACCGAGCAGCTGATCGCTGCACGACCCGGAGCTGGAGAGGAAGCAGCCGAAGTAAAAGGAGGAAAGCTGCACTTAGCGGGTCGATGCTCGTCCACCCGCTGCTGGTCGTCACAGGAAACCATCTGCAGCAGAACATCTGTAAACTTCAGCCCATCATGAGCTTTCTGCCTCCTCATCCCGTCTCTTCTCCTTCTGCTTTTTTTTGGACTGAATAATTCCTTCAAAAACAGCACGTCGAAGGCAAAATGTTTGTTATTTACCGTGAGAACCGTCCCACAACACAAGCAGAATATTCTTTAGCGGCTGAGGTCAGAGATTAAATTCCTCGCTTTTCTTCCAAAGGTGGAGGAAGAAGAAGAAACGAGCAAAATAAGCGTCCGCTGCGCTGCTCCCTGCTGGCCGGAAACCAGCGTGAAGAATGCGATTAGCGGCGTCGGCTTCCTGACCTCTAATCTCACCTCCTCTCATCTGTATTCAGCAGCTCCCTCTGGCCTGCTGTCCTCTGCAGAGCCAAGTGAACAGAGTACAGTGGGAACAAGAGGGAGTGTGGAAGAAACGTGACGCGCTGAGTGAATCCATGCATACCGAGGTATTAATGATTTCTGAGCTGAGGTTTACATCCAGAAACTCGTCCGTGGTCAGATTTAGGCAACAAAAGTCCTTCAGTTAAGGTTAGCAGTTTTGATTCTGGATAAATAAATGTTTTCTAATTTTTTTCAGAGCAATATTTTTAGTCTTCTGAACCCCAGAATCCAGCAGCGGGTTTTAACGGCATCGTATTGGTTTAAATAAATCACCAAAATAACCTCATTTATCAGAACCATAAACTGTAAAAACTGAAAAAATCTGCAGATGTTCAGCTTTCTAGAACTGTTTGAACTAATAATGTGAGACGTGTAGGTCCATTGTGAAAATTCACCAAATCTAAGCCAGAAATTGTGATATTTTATCCAAATCACTTTATTCTACATGTGATATGTATTTTATATAAACATGACAGTTTGCAGGAACCAGAGTCTTTAAAACATTAAACAGTTCTCGGTTCCTCAGAACAAACTCGAGGTCACGACTCACTGAACAGTCACACGACAAAATCTGAGGAACTTTTTGGCCAAACTGGGCTGAACTGCAGGATGTGTTTGCATCTCTTTGCCTCATAATGTTTTTGTCTTTTTCATTTGTCATCACGCTTCTTTAAAGCTTCTGAAAAGCCACCGAAACAGCCCCGTTTATCAGAGGCAGAAACTGTAAATATGAGCGAGTGAACAAGCAAATCCGTCGGGAAATTAACAGAATCTAAGCTTAAAGTTATATAATTTCATCAGTCACTCTATTCGACGTGCCTCGTTTAAAAATACAACAAAAATAAAGCGTTTGCGACAACCAGGTTCTGCAAAAACCCAAAAATTCTGCATTTCTCAGCATCAGCAACAAACTCTGCAGCAATTAAACATCTTATTACAGAAACTTTTGGGACACGCTGGGTTGAACTGCAGGCTGTGTTTGCACAGAACACAGAGGAGACGAAGATGCACATGAATTAAAAGCAGTAAAACTTGTTTTCTAGTTGGGAACACCTGAGGGAGCTTGTTGTGCATCAATTTCAATTTTGTAAAATGCAAAAAAAAAAAAAAGACAAAAAAATTCAACTCAAAACTCAACTTTTTTATTCTTTTATTCTGATTTCTGTCGTTCCAACTGTGTCATAATGCAAAACAGACATTTCTGAGTTCTTGCTCTCTCCAGTCATGGTTCTGCTGCTTCTGTAGACTTTATGTGAAAAATGTCTGACAGTCGCTGAAGGTCCAGAAACTGTCGAGTGTTTTTACCAAATGCTGTCAGCGCTTAAACAGAAAGAAAAACTCGGCATCGATGCATTTGTCCGTTTGATTCTATATGATTAGACTTCACCAGGAGGCTGTTTGACGTTGACACGAGGATGCTTGTAGGGAGTGTGTGTGTGTGTGTGTGTGTGTGTGTGTGTGTGTGTGGAGGTGAGTGTACTTTGCAGTGACTGATGGATGGAATTATCCCTTCAACCTCTGGGCCTCCGAGCTGATCTTTTCTACCAGCAGTGAAAATTGTGACGGGAAGTTATCGAGCTGCTTGGCGTGTGAGTGTATGTGTCGGCCGGAGATGGCTGCAGATTAACGCTAACGAAGGCTGATGGACAGAAGCAGGATCCCGCTCTGTGCTGTGCATACAGATGGACGGGAAGTATAGAGCCGCCAGGTACAGAACCGGAGAGGCAGGCCGCCCCGACTGAAGTGCAGAGGACGACAGCAAAGGGCAGCCGGAGGAGGAGGAGGAGGAAGGACGGGATGAAGACGAGAGGGGATCGATAGGGAGCAACAAGAAAGAGAGGAAGTGATGAGGAAAGGAAATGAGACAAGAAGGAACAAGGAGACGAGGAAATGAGAAGCAGAGGATGAAGAAACTAAATCAGACAAATAAAATCAATACAAACGTGCTGATGCTGCACTTTTTAACTCCGTTTTCTGTTATTTTTGGCAGATTTTCAGACATTAGCAAGTGAAATAATAATTTAAAAAATCTTAAAAGGCTTAAATTAGGCCAAAAAAAATTGAAGTAAAATATTTTAGATGTATTTGTAGTTATTTTTAAGGAAGAAATATTTATGAGGGACTAAAATAATGGTCATTTCTAAACATTAATTTTATAGATTCTCAACCTTTTGTTAAATTACAGATAATATCGAGTAAAATAACAGAATTTTTAAAAACTATTTCCTTTTTAAATGATTAAAAAAGACCAAATCAAAAAATGTGCATTCTTGAAAACAACTTATTTTACAACACGTGACCGTTTTATTTTTGTATTTTTTTGTGTTATTTTTTTTAATTGGAAAATAAATAAATAATAATAAAGACAACACATGAGCCTAAAATTACAATTATTAAATATTATTAATATTTAATAATTATTATAAAAAATTCCTGTTTTAAATTTAATCAGTTATTATTATTGTATTTGATAGTTGTAGTTATTTGAAGAAAAAAATATGCAAATTAAGAACCTTTTTTTTTGTAAAAGGTAAATAATTACTGAAATTGTTATTTTATAAAGATTTTTCCCATTTTGTTAAATTACAAATAACCAGTATAATCAATGGATTCTTTTTGATTTTTAAATTTTAAAAAGGTCAACACTTTAATGTTAACATCAAGTTTGGATTTTTTTTTTTTTTTCTAAATAATAAATCGTATTTTGTGTGACAGTAAAGTCAGACTATTTTTAATCAGCCAAATAAATAATTATTTTACATCTATTTGCCATTATTTTTTTTATTTTCCAGTCTTTAATTAGTTTTTCTCGGCCCCCTTGCTGCCAGATTTTCGTGTTTTTTTTTTTTTAAGCAGTTCTTTTTTTTCAGAGCAGCCTGTCGTGTAAATGCAGCCTCAGCGACCAGATTCTGTCTAAATGAACAAAGGCAGCAGCTGCGTCGCTGCTCAGGTGTGTCTGGATGAACTCCGGCTTCGTCTCACTGAGTCCACGCTGCATCATGACGAGAGCGTCCTGGTGTCGGACAAACTTGATGCTCTGCTGCTCCTCAGAGATGCTCGTGAACACAACGATGTGAGTCTGAGGCGTCCTCCTGCTTAGCTTGTGTCTAAATGAAGGGTTCTGTCGGGCCGGAGCACACATGTACGTCCTGCTCGCTCACAACGCGCCTCGTTTCGTCCAGCGTTTGTGCTGACAGAAGCCAGAAAACACATCCAACGGTTTAAATATCGGGTAATTGTGGAGAAATCAAGGGATGCAATTTGAAGCGGATCGATTGCAGAGCTAATTGGATTGCAAATCTTGTAAAAAAATAAAATAAAATAATGTGGAGAGGAGTAAAAACTGAAAACAAATCCAGACATGAGGGGTCAAAAAGCAGCTTATGAATCCCAGAGAGGGCGAAGGAAGTGGCATCATCGTAATGGGAGGACGAGGCACTCGTGGAGGAGCTGAATGCAGTGAAGAGTTACTCAGACGCTGGAGCAGGAAGTGGCTGAATGAGAGGAGAGTCAATTAGAGAGAAGAATTTACCAAATAAGACGGTTAATAGGAGGTCCAGTGAGGGTGGAGAGGACTCGTGACTGAAGCGCTGGGTGACTAATTCTGTGTCATTTCAGGATTATTGTGGTGAAGTTTGCACTTTTTGGCTCGTGGCTCGACGTCGCTGCGACTCCGAGCTCAGTGTCATGAAAACGATTTAACCCTTCGGCTGCTCACGTCACGTTTTCCATCAGTGTGGACTCGTTTATTTTTTTACTGTATTACAAATTCCTGCAGCTGTTTGGAAACAGAACAACCACGACTAGAAAGAGAGAGAAGGAATGATGCCTTCAGTGCAGGATGAGAGTTAAACCGACGGAAATCACAGATAGTTGGATTTCTTTGAGTGTTTATCTTACAAATTTATTTTTTTTTTAAATAAATAAAGAAAAAAAAACGGTGTTTTTCCAGGTTTTACTGATAAAAACACACATTAGATATTTAACTGCTGACATTTTTAATCTGTTTGCATCCTGGTCTCCTCTGCTGTGTGGATACAAAACCTGCAGTTCAGCTGAAAAGTCCCAGGTTTGATTTTATTTTTCTTATTACTGGTCACTAATAACTTCCTAATTGTATTGAGGAGTGTAGTTTTTCCAATTTATTTTGTATTTTCCGGTGACGTTTTCCATGTGATCGGTATGTCACAGACGAACAGTTGAAGGACTGCTGTAGAGTTAAATGTTGGATGATTCCTTTGACGCTTTCACTGTTTCTGGATCTGGTAAATGG